GTCGCAGCAGCCACAAACCACCACACCTACAGCAGCGTCGCGGGGGACGCTTACACATTCCCTGAGACACTACTTACAAGGTTTAAAAGACTGTAAATATAAACTGACACTCGACCAAGAGCTTCTACGCGGATTAGACACCCAGCCATGCTTTTGGGGGGTCGCAGCAGCCCGTCGCTGCTACGAATCGTAGCAGAGGGATGGGGAGGGAGGTGGAGGGGAAGGGAAGGCGAGGTGGCAGAGACGAGATGGAAGAGAGAGGGATGGGGAGGGAGGTGGAGGGGAAGGGAAGAGAGTGGGGAAAGGAGGGGATGGGGAAGAGAGTGAAAAATTAGAGTTAAAAATTTTTATATATCACCTGATTTTTGAAAAATGAAACTTGATTCCTGATTTTTGAATTTGAAACTTTAAACACCTGCCTCCATATATTTTCCTCCCTACGAAAATTGTGGACACTCCAACCCCATACCGCTCGCCCGCAGCATTTGATGTGAATTTCGGTCTTTCACTTTTTTTTCTTTTTTTTTTTTCATTAAAAGAATATTTTTTTTTATGGGTAAAAATCAAGAAATCAGGTGATTCAAAGAGAAATCCATTAAAAAATTGATTTTCTTGTAAAGTCCCATGAGAACTTATACTTTTTTAAAGGACTAATTCAAACTTTTACGTTATTTATTATATTATAATTTAACCGATGAAAGATTTTACTTTAAGACTAGATGTAGTTGCATTAATAACGGCTAACATTGGACAAATGAACACTAATTTCGGGAACTATGACAATTGAAGAACACTTTAGAGTTGCTAAGCTCACTTCGACGCATTTGTTTCATTTTTTTATTTTGTTTCCACTTCTGGTTGTGAGTTGAGCCATCGAGAGAAGTCCATTTCAATGTTTTGTTTCTCATCCTGAGTCGATGTCTATATATTTTATATTTATTTTATGGTTACCTTTTTATTATTACCAGTACTTTTATCATACTTTGTCCCAATAACAAACCTCTTTAATTAGTATTTCGAGTTTGGTGTTACCTAAATTTATAAGTAAATGACTATAAATTATTTCAATATCAAGATCAATAGAACATAATCATTCAGAAATCGTAATAGAAGTCTTCAAATATCTTCCAAAAATATAACATTATGATTATAACACTCGTCATCACTCTTATCACTTGTAGACCAATCCTCATGGTATGACCAGGGACGGATTTAAGGGTGCCCATTTCAAGGGTATATATATATATAGAATAATTCCATAGGTACATAGAATTACTGACAGAAATGATATGAGTATTGTGTTGGCAGCATCTGTATGGTGCATTTTTTGTATTTGTTGTAGCAAAAATCAATGAAAAACTGTCAAATGTCTTTCTGTAAAAATTGTGCCAAACCCTTTTTTTTTTTTATAACATATTAGCTCAACTTAAAAAGAGTTTTAGTTCGATCTTGGATCTACACCTAGTTACAACACTCGTCATCACTCTGTTACTTATTACGACTCGTGTACATGTTATATTGCAGCGTAGTAGAGAACACATATCATTTTAATGACCAACGTCCTATTGTGAGTGTCGATCAATCTGTATGTCAATCATTTTCGGTACGAATAGCATGGCTCATTCAAAAATGACTAATGTCCCTAGGTGCATATATGCACCAGTACGGTACTGCTATTTCTTTTCGAAGATAACCTAAGGGACTACTAGAGGATTGGTGTAAGGAGAATACTCCAATTTCTAGTACAGTGATTTTCCTATCATCAAGTTTGAATGTAATTGCGCTAGCAACAATTTTTCAACAAGACATCTTGTTCTCAGCCCAATGGAATGTAGAAACAAATTAAAAGCATTGAGAAAAAGGTAATGTGCAGCCTAACTTTACATTTGTGGACGAGGTTCATGCGGCGCAATGTTTTCTCAAGACTCGTTCTTCGTCCCAGCATCACACCTCCTTTTCGGTTTTGGCCTTCTGGTGTTGTCCATGTGAGATACCTGTATTGATTCCCGGAATTGGTTAGAATTTTACAAATTAGAAAAATCAATCACTAAAAGTATATAGGCAAAAGAAATTTGGATAAATTGCGTACTCTATCCTCAACAAAATGGTCCTCACTGAAAGTTTCCCATGCAAGCTGACATCAAAAGACAAAGTGACAAAAAAAGAAGAGAAATGAATCATTCTCCTTCCACCTCAACCATCATCACCACTCCCAAACTCCACCTTCACTAGCCTATAGCCCAAGCCCGGCTTCCGTGGCTCTCCTCCTCCTCCTCCTCCTTCCTCCACCTGTTTTCAATTAATTGAGTTTGATTCAAGCAGTTTTTTTTTTTGCCTTGAAGTTACATAGACAAGGGGAGGAGAAGAAGAGGCGGAATGAGATCTGGGGGGCTAAGGTGGGAAGGGGGTCCTGCAATGGGATGAAGAAGATGGATTCATTTCTTTTCTTTCTGTTTCTCTGTATACTTAATTTTGCTTATTTAAGGTTGTAGGTAATTGTCTTTTTAGGTAGATTATTTTGGACAAAAATCACTACAAGTGAGGAACATTTGAGCCAACAATGCCAAGAAAAAAAAGGTTGGCGATAAAAGTGCAAAAGGGGATATAGGTTTGGGACAGTGCATGCAATTGAAGTATGACCAAACATTATGCGCTACGTACACATCTACATACAGTTACATGCAGAAGCACACTCACGCATATGGAGAAATAGATAGATATAATATAAAAATACAGAGAGAATAACATCAGTTCAGGAATCCTTACAATGCAAGATTTCCATTCTATTTTGGAATGCTCATCTAGGGAGACAGTTTCCAACGAGTGGTTTCGTACATGCTGGAATATGTGGAGGAGGACAGCAGCATCAAGAGCAGCATATTCCAGCTGCACAAAGAGACCGAATATAGAGTTTTCAAAAATAAAGCAACTCCATATAATGAAATAGCCGCTTCATAAGTTTCTTCTGGAAAGATTAAACCGTGTGATTAAGCTCAACTAAAATGCACACGACTGTGGGTTCCAAGGCTTCTAAGAAAGCCACATTTTTGCCAGACATGCTCCAGAGCATCCCTGATTTATTATAAGCTCACAATCACAATATTTATCACGGTTGTTGGCAAGAGGTGTAAATTGGGTCATGTCGCATTTTTGGGTACACCAACATGGCTGGGCCTAACATATTTCTTTTATTTGCAAATATTTTTTTTTCCTTGCTATGCTGAGTCCACTGCATAGTCTAAGAGTATCTCCAAGAGACTCTCTATTTTTAAAGAGCATCTATAAATATAGAATGTTAAAATTTTGAAGTACTCCAATAAACTCTTTATATTTAACATTTGATTTTACTATTCCCAAAAAATATTTATTATTTTTTTTATCTTTTATTTTAACTAACTTTTCTTTATGCTATTTTATTATTTTCCTACATTGAAAATTGGAACATTTTGAATGTATTTAATTATAGAGAGTGAGTTTGGCTCACTCTCTAAATTAAAATGTTAATTTGAAGAGTCTCTTGGAGCATGATTTTAAATGTTAACTTTTTAAAATAGAGAGCGTCTCATGTTTAAAGAGTTTCTTGAAAATACTCTTACTATGCCTTAAACAGAGTCCTTCTCTGCAATTAATATTTGAACACCATCTTTTTTCACTCCAAAAAAATAATAATAATAAAAATAAAAAAGGAGGCCTGTCCAGTGTTAAGAATTGGGGTTCCATCTTAAAAGGTCAACTTTATTAAGAGGAGTAGCCCAAACTCTTATAAATTGGTCTATGTTTTCATCTTTATTCGATGTGGGATTTTATCCCTTAACATGCCCCTACAAGATGGTGGCTCTTTTGAGCAGACTAATTTTGAAATCCGCGTGCTCAATTTTTTTAGTCTTAATCGGACTGAATTGCTCGTTGAAGTTTAGTGGATTCTGATACCATGTTAAGAATTGAAATTCCATCTTAAAATGTCAACCTTATTAAGAGGAGTAACCAAATTCTTTATGAGCTGATTTATGTTTACATCTTTACCCAGTACTATACGGCCCAAGTGGATGATGGGCGCTAACTAGGGGCCCAACACCAACTCGTGCCGTGCCGGATAGGCCAAGGGGCTGCAAGCCGGTCCACTGCCCCAGCACAGACCAGTCTGTGCCGTTCTGTGCCTGGGCTGGGCTTTTTCTGTGCGGACTGCTCGGCACTGGGCTGTCCGGCAAAGATTTGACCCTCTAGTTGTGGCTGATAGTTTACTCAATACAGAACATAAAACACTTGCCTGATACTGAGTCAAAGGTCGTTGCTCCCAGTTGCTGTTTCGTGTTGTTTTGTTCAAACCGTTACCCAGTATCTTCTGTTTCCATGAACACAATGCCCAAGAGAGGCTTAAATTTGATAGCCACTTGACCACAATGGAAGCGAAAAATGAATAAACTAAACAAAAATGACATACAAACTCATAATGGTCAATGAAGTATCACATTGTGAGAAAACAGTATAGTGGGTGGCTACAATTATATAATACCTTTGCTAAACCAGAAAGACCACCTCGCTGCTCTTTGAACACATTTTGAATGTCAAGAAGCATCTCACAATGCTTGAAACAATTCAGTTCTCCATAAGAATGAGCAAGCTGATGTGCATCACATTGAAAATTGTAGCCTGTAGATAACAAAATCATGGCTCAAGTAACTTTCTTGCAAAATTTAATTTATTTAATCATAAAAAGACCGAATGTAAACCATACAGAATACGGACTTTCACATTGTTTGCCAACGGAGACAAACCAAAGAAAAATAATACTTCCAAACATTGAACCGGGAACCATACAGAATACGGAAAATTCCTTTAACTTTCGCATTGTTTGCTAATGGAGACAAACCAAAGAAAAATGCTATTTTCAAACATTGAACCGGGAGAATATCTTGTGGTCTAGGGCATAATAATAAAATAAAAGGACTTAGACTTTGACAATAATGCAGTAAGAATCAAGTTTTCCTGTTTTCATCCAGTGCTTTATTATAGTTATATTAATTGTCTTTTAAGGACATTGGACGAAAAACAGTTTAGAATCCAATTAATAGTCCAAGTAATTGTATCCATGACGTTAAACTTACCAAGCTTCAGAATACTTGGAGAGTGCAACATGCGGGCAAAGCATTCATCTAGTACAGTTGGAATGTTTTCGTGTAGCTTTATCAAGTCAAATATATAAACCTTCTTATCAGAGGAAATTTGCATGATAGAAACCTGTAGCATGAGGAATGAACTTTTCGGAATTAGAGAACAAGAAGAGACTTGTGACGTGTTATGCATCAGAATATGTATGTGATCTTTTTATTTTTTGTCAGAATGAAATATTCATATGCTTCAATAATGCCTCACATTCTAAAAATTAAAAAAGAAAAAAAATAATGCAAGTGTTTTTGGGTCATTTGTATTAGGAATGCCTTCTCTAAAGGTCAAGTACAATATGAAAATGAAAAAATGGGTTCTTCTGTAAGAACTTGCTTTTAATGAAACCAAAAGGAGAAAAATATATTGATTGAAATGAACTTGCTATTGCAGTGGCAATGGCAATGGATAAGAAAGTACCTTACTGGCTTTGCTGCCCTTTTCATAAGTGGGTTTCCATTCACAATCAAGGCCTATAATTTTGCAATCCTCGATGTACGATGTTGCTTCACGCAAACCAATGACTTCATCAACCCAGATAACATCTTCAATTAACAATTCATTAAGGTGCAAATAGCCATTGTGGGCAACATTCCTGTCGAGCTCTGTGCAAAATGATTGAAAGAACTTACGCCCTGTTTGATTGCCACATTTTCCATGGAAAACGAATTCCACTTTGTTTGTTTGATTGCAACGTGGAAATGAAAACTGAATTTCAAGGTACAATCACTTGAAATTGCATTTTCTTTATTTTCATGAAAAACGAATTCCTATGGGTTTAATGGGTTTTATTTTCCAACTAACATGAAATTAGAATTTTTTTTTTTCACATTTACCTATCAAACGACCGTGGTTAGAAAAAGTAAATAAAAAAAATCTTGAATCAATGTTTCTGTTTCTTGCTAAATATACTATTGAAAAGAAATGATACCAAAACAACTATGATGAACCCTCCTATTTATGTCACTAATAGATGGGGAAAAAGCAACAACTCAATCAAATCCAAAATTTAAACTTACTGAGATAACAATGTTATTGGAACCCCAAAATTAGCCACTTGCACTTCTCACAACCCATTGGCCATTCACAATAGTGGAACATAAGAAGCTAATTTTCACATAAAAATAGAAAGTAATGCAGTTGAAAAAGAGACAAATCTCCTCTAAACAACTCTTAGATGTCCACTGTTATAGAGGAAATTGATGAAGACAAGGTTTAAATGATACCAGTGTGGGTCTAATTTATTTACACAAAATTATCTTACTCTGCTGCTGATTATTTGATAATATCAGCAAGTTTTTTATTATTTGTTGCGGTTATTTACACAAAAATTACAGAAGAATTATTCTTCTAAATCTTATTAATGTTTCCCGACAATCTCACGTTTGATTTACAATGTTTCCTATTAATGCGGCAATTATGTTTAATAAAAATTAGCTAATCAACCACAGTGGAAGCTTGAACTTGAAGAGAAAGTAAAGTTTGGTGTGCTTTTTGTAATGAGTGGAGGGACAAGAGAACACGCTGAAGTCACATGGAAAGCAAGCAGCATGCATATTTATCAATGTTGTCGCCCGGCCCGGCCGGTTACCTGATTAAGACAAAACCGCTCAAAACCCGTTGAAATCAACCATACACCGGTGAACCGGTTGCGGTTTTGAGCGGTTTTCCCAACTTTTTTTTCTTTTTTTTAGTTAAAAAAATTTTAACTTCATGAACGGGCTTCATAAATTACAATTCAAAAGCCCATAGAGAATTATTGGATGTCATGCTCATTTTATAGATGCACTTCTCTCAAATGATTTAATAAACTTTCAATGTGAGATAGTGTCTTTTATATATGTTCTTCTCTTCAATGATTTCATAAATTTTCAATGTAGGACAGTGACATAACAAAAAAATGTTAAAATGTCCATCAAAATCATTTTTCAAATGTATGTCTAATTGACTAATTTGATTTTGAATCCCAACTAATTGAATTGTAATATTCACCTCCATCCTTTCATTTATTTAATTTTCAAATTTAACTTAAATTGCACTTGATTATTAATATATTAATGTTAGATACCATTTTCTATAAGTTTAAATTATTTTAATTTAACAAAGTAAACTATTTTGATTTTTAATTCTTGAAGTATCAAGACTAATTGTAGGATAATGAATCTAATTAACAAATATAGATTTACTTTGAATTATTAATATGAAAATAAAAAAAAAAAACTATTGTTTTCATAGTATTTATTGCATCCGGTTCGACCCCGGTTGAACCTTTTGATCTTTGACCCTTCAACTTTTATGGGTCGATGACCGGGTTGGTTTTCAAAACATTGATATTTATAGACAAGAATGGACATCAAACTGAAACAACTCCTTTCAACTGGGAGTAACTTGATCATCTCTACAAGATGCTAAACTATACTCATCCTCCACGAGTCCTCTCTAGTTCTCTTTCCCGGAAAGGTAGCCCTTTAAGTGCCCTCACTAGCTCATTGAATCCAGCAACCTGGATCATTGATTCGGGTGCATCTCATCACATGACCTGTTTGTCATATTTATTTAGCACATATCTCCTTGTTCTGGTCATTTAAAAAATTTAATTGCTGATGTTAGTTTGTCTCCGATTGCATGAACAGGTTCGATAGTCATATCAGAAGATTTAGTTTTAAATTCACCAAGGACTCTTAACTGTGTCGTCAAATTTCTAAACTCTCACTGTGATTTCAGGACCGACTTTCAGGGAAGATGATTGGCTGTGTTAGGATGATTGACAGACTATTATTTTGATGACAACTTCTTCAAAAGTGGACAAGCTCAAGTTATGAGAAAGCTCAAGTTATGAGACTTGAACTCAGGTCTTATGCTTGGCTCCAATACTATGTTAAACATCTCATCTGAAAGCTTAGTTCTTCTCTTTAAGAGAACTTCCTCAGATTAGCAAAAATTATGTCATGGTTCTCAAATTTTATTGAATTTTAGACTCCCTAGATGGAACTTAGCGTGTTTCATTTACAAACTAAATACAAGGAAACCATTTGATGGAGTGTGTCAATTTAATTGGCATTCCATGCACCCAAAAAGAGAAGGAATCTAATTGTATTTACATCCATAACTTCATCAGAAACATGGTTATGGATGGGGCAGAATGAGCAACCTGAAATAAAAAAATGACAAAGAGAACACGTTTTCGCCGTTTTGAAAAATCGAAAACAGAAAACGGCTTGAAAACGGCAAAGAGAACGGCCCCTTAGTTCTTCTCTTTAAGAGAACTTCCTCAGATTAGCAAAAATTATGTCATGGTTCTCAAATTTTATTGAATTTTAGACTCCCTAGATGGAACTTAGCGTGTTTCATTTACAAACTGAATACAAGGAAACCATTTGATGGAGTGTGTCAATTTAATTGGCATTCCATGCACCCAAAAAGAGAAGGAATCTAATTGTATTTACATCCATAACTTCATCAGAAACATGGTTATGGATGTGGCAGAATGAGCAACCTGAAATAAAACTCTGACATCAAGCAGAATCCTNGGCAGAATGAGCAACCTGAAATAAAACTCTGACATCAAGCAGAATCCTCAAGCATCAAAAATCAGTACCATGTTAGGGGAACTGCCTGAAAGCCTATAAAAATTCCCTAGTTAAATTTAAATATCTGTCCTTATTGAAGACATATTTTCTGCATTCTCTCTCCACTCCAATACCAGAATGCACACACTTAGCAATGCTTAAGCTCTTGTAATTGAGATCCTTTTACATGGAGAAATATTTTTTAACACAGGTTATTAAAAGAACACGCTTCAGCACAAGGAATTCACGAAGCAACAAACATTTGATGGGTAACTTAAATGAAGCCAAAATATTATAGAATTCCTGCCGTGCTGATACCTCTATTACTTACCAAATTACCCAGGGGCAGTTAATCATGAGTAAAGAAAGAAAAGATATCAATGTGGAAGATAAAGTGAAATGTCTTCTCAAGCATACCTTTGATACTCGTGAAACCTTTGAGGGAATAGCGATCGCAAATTTCTTCTACCTTTTCTGAGTAGCCAGCTTCCATTGCCATATAAACCTCAAAAAAAAAAAAAAAGATGGTGTTCATACTCTATGTTTTTCAGTGTATTTAAATATTTGAAGAACATAAGAGTGACAAAATGTTCAAGAGAAAGTCCAATTATCAATTTCAGATTGGGTTTTGTGACCATTTAAATACTCCATACCGCAACATATATCATGGAAAATTTCTTGACTTGGAAGAATGCAAAGGAATTTCTTTGATGTAATTTTTATTCTGAAAAAAATTTCATTCTGTTCGTTTGGCACTTTACTCTGTGCATGCAGATTGATTACAACTGCACTGCAGTTAAGGGCATATGTTAAATTATTAACCTAAAATCATCTAAACCACTAAATGGATAACAATATTTCAAACCCTCTAATCTTCCAGTGAGCTGGTAATAATAGAAAAAAAAATATGAAATTGTCGCAATAATCATGTTTATTATAATTGGATCTTGAATTTCTTTGATAAGTAAATCTGGTATAGAAAGAAAGGTTCATATTTGAATTCATTTTGCTGCAACACCAATCTAGGAAGCACCGACGTGGACATGCCGACACAATTTTCCAAAGTACTGACACAACACGTGCACACGCTAATAAAAATAATAATTTGTCTATATTTTTATGTTTTTGGTTTTCATTATTTTAAATTTAAAGTCAATTTATTTTTGTGTATCTCGGTGTGTCGGTAATATATCTCCTCGTGCTAGTAACGTGTCAAACTCTCTAAAACCAAAAACTATTAAGGACAAGTCACTTGTAATTTTTGACACGTGTTGGTTTCGTATTGGGATCTCTCGGTATATGGACAATGTGTCGACAACATGTCAACTGTACGAAACTAAAAATAATTTGAACACACCATTTGGCATTTCAAACATGTGTCAACTTCGTATCGGTGTCAAATACTAACTCATAGCGCTCTATGAGGGTGTCGGAATTGTACAACATGGTGGTAATGTGTATCTCCAGCATGTGTCAACAATGCATCTCCAACGTGTCAATAATGCATCTCCACTTGTCGATATCATGTCCAGCTCTACAAAGTCAAAAAATAATTTGAACACACTACCTGGAGTTTTTGATAAGTTGGTTTCATGTCGAGATCACTTGACGTGTTGACAATGTGTCGACAACATATTTAACTGGGCAAAATCTAAAATAATTTGGACACACCATCTAACATTTCCAACATGTGTTGGTTTGGTGTCGATGTCCAACGTGTCAAACAATACTGTGAGGGTGTCTGCAATTTATAATGTGTTTGTAACTTGTACATCTCTAGCATGTCAAAAATGCATATCCGACATGTCAAAAATATTTTCCGATGTGTTGGAAATGTATCTCCAACATGTCGGTAACATGCCCAACTCTACAAAATTAAAAATAATTGAGACACTCCACTTGGAGTTTTTGACGTGTTGGTTTTGTTCTGAAATCTCTTGACATGTTGACAATGTGTCGACGACGTGTCCAACTGTGCAAAACCAAAAATAATTTGAACATACGATCAACATTTTTGGCACGTGTTGTCATCGTATCAAATACGGAATACTGACTTGTCAGTGGTATGAGGGTGTCAGTGCATCCTCAATGCCAATTCAGTATATGGAGATAGAAAAATTGGATTGCTCATCACCAATTTGCCTAAATAACACATGATTTGCAACTTGAGCCTAATCAATGTACTTTTACCCCCAAATTATTTTTTCACTCGGGTGCCATGAAAAGAAAAATTAGAGCTTTTACCCATAGCTCAACTACCTACCAAATACTCGAGAAGTTGTTTATTGGCTTTTGCTCTTGCTTCCGCTACATCCCACACACCTTTTTCTGCTAGTTTCTTCAGTGAGCTGCAATTTCATATAAACTCAAGTGAGATCCTCATAGAAATGGAATATAAAAGAACAGGGTGGACCCAGCGAGTTACACTGAATGAACTTGCCTTTCCATATAATGATGATATAGTTCTGGGAATTCCTGGCTCATATTATTTTTCTTTATAATAGTGTAAGCAGGTTTTACAAGCTTCTTGTCAACATATTCCTGGACAAGTATGCACAACATAGATTTTCCCATGAACGTGGCCCACTTTTCTGCTGCTTTGTATTGTCCGGATTCCATCATTTGAAGTAGAAATGACTCTCCGGACTTATGAATAGAGAAGTGTTCCAACAGAGAAACAGCATTCATGTATGATTGGTATTCTATCAGCTCAAAAATATACTGCTCTACTAATTCTTTTGCTCTGTTTATTGTAATACTCATCTTCTTGTTAGAATCATGAATAACTACCTGTATATTTTCCAAACTGACATCAAAAACCTGAAGAATCTTTACTAGAATCCTTTCGTCAAGCACCATACTTCCACCAGTAATGTCCAGAAATAATTTGGCAGCAAAAAGTTTCGCTTCAAGTATATCTTCAGCAGTGGATCCCGTTTTCAGAAATCGGCGAAGAGCAGATATCATCAAATGACTGAATCCCCTTCTGTGTATATCAAACAGGGGCAGAATACAGAGACAGTGAGCAATGAAAGTAGCAGGGCCAGGTTGTGGATCATTGCATAGAACTCGATGCACTTGGTCTTGTAAAGCACGGAACTTTGCAAATGCCTTGCATGCTCCTTTCAAATGTAAAAATCAGATAAATATCATTGTTAAACAAGGCAATCAAAAAAATCTTGTTATGTTGACTTTGTTGTCAAGGCTTCAATAGCATATGAGACATAGTCATTTGAACATACACAGCCACAAAGTCTTACTAGCATTTAAATTAATAATGCAAAGATACAAGAGTTTTTAAGACATTGTCAGTTTACTTAGTGATACCGTTTTGCCACATTGAGAGACAAAATTGATAATGGTCACAATTTTTGTAAGAAATAAAGATATACTTACACTTAGTATTCTAGGAAATTCTAGAAAGAAAACTTTAAAAGCAAGTGAGCAACCTTGAAACTCACATCAATCCTCTCTAAGACCAAACTGTAGGTACTAGAATTCAGAAAATTAGTGCATGAACAATTCCTAGGGTTAATTACAGCTATTACTATTGGAGATCGTCTGTACGAATAAGAACAGAACATAATGCTTCTGAAGTTGGTTCTGAAAAGGGAGATTATCATTTCTCCAGAAAAGGAAATCATATATTCCCAATTACTATCATATTGCAATATATCTCACAAGCCGTAGTTTCAAAATTGTGTTTTTTATTTCCTTTATAGTAACTAGTAAATTAAAGTGCCTAAGAAGGACAGTGAGTCAATGAAACTGACACTTGCTGGGGACTGGTAAGGAGCTGATATTTTTTTGCAGCACTCATTTCAAGCTCTCTCAACTTTTTATGGTGCTTAGTGCTATTAATAGTAGCAAAAGCAGTGAGGGAAGTTGGAAGGTGGGAGGTGGGAAGGGGTCTTTTTGATTCTTTCATTTTTCAATTTCTTTGCTTTATGTTTATTTCTTTATTTGAACATGAGGGTGAAATTTATCGTCTCACATTTAACCTGTTTAGGAGGAAACTGTCAGAAGGGACTTTTTACTACAAATCGGTGATTGAGGACACATCTGCCAAAATTTGGAACAGGGATTCAAGTGCCAATCGACCCGAAGAATCAGGGCCGTAGTTGTAAATTTCTCCCGTTGGCGTCTGCTCAATTGGTAAGCATAATTACTCTCCATGACTAGCAATACATATCCCCTGATGTTTTCTGAACATAATCTGAAATGCTTTTAGTAAGAAAAGAGAAACTGAATATCACAGTTTCAATACAAAAACACTTGCCACAGAGTAAAGAATAGTAAAGGTAATAATTCTAAAGGAGTCTCTTCGTCTGAGATCAATTTCAAAATCACTAATAACATAGATAATAAGTCAACAATTCAAAAAGCTAAATAACTGACAAATGCTTCGAGCTGGCTAAAATATAAGCTTGGATTTTGCCATTACATATCCTAAATACTAGATTTTTCGATCATGGCCTCATTGGATCTGCCACCCCAAACCCCCAAAATAAAAAAGTATCTAGTGAGCGTTCTTGTAGAGTCTATAACAATTTAGAATGAAAGAGTGAGAATAATACCATATGCATAGTATTCCTTTAAGAGATACACAAATACCAAAGGAGGCATGTGGGAGAGATCATAAAAATCATGCCTCCTTAGCGTCCATGTGAGTCTTTCACCCATTCCCTAGGTTAATAAGACGAAAAGCCTACACAAGAAATAAAATAGACATGTTGAGTAAAACTT